CACCATTCTCTCTCCAATTTTCTACATCACAGAAAGGCCATTTTGTTTCAATCTTGCAATATCTTCTAAGTCAGCCTCTTCAAACCCAAATGACATAATTGGCAATGCTTTTACAATATAGTTGGTGCATTTTGCTTTGGGGAATTATTTATGGGCTTACCATGAGTTATTTCCTTTTACAAACATCATTGAAGCTCACCACTTCTGGAAAGCCTCACCTGTTTAAGTGGAATATGATCCCATTAACCTCTGGCTGTATCTTCAGAGGATATATCAGAAGTCATATTTGTAGAGGCATATGCTGCCATTCTATGCACTATGTATGAAAGCACGTCAGCACGTCTCTTTTATTTCTCTAATTTTAGCATGAGGGCCATTGACCATGCTCTTTCACCTGCCTAGAATATATCTGATTCTACCAGCAACCTCAACATCTAATTCTTTTCATATCCCTGCTTGGTTATTTTTGTTCTGGGAGGCTTTCTCTGATTTCCCTTGTTCCACTGATTTGCATGGCCTTGTTGCATCTCTCCAAAGTCTCACTTTTATATTTATTTGAATATTCATTTCATTAATATCTGTCTCTCTTGGTAGGCTGTAACTCTGTAACCCACAAACCTAGAATCTGTGGTTGGTCTTGTTTACTAGTATATTTCTAGCATTTAGCCCCTGGATCCTAGTAGGTGACTAATTGTTGAATGACTAGATAAATAAGAAACTGTGTTTGCTCTTTGAAACATAGCTACAGTTCTACTTCACCTATGAGTTTTGCAATACATAAATAAATTTCAAAACTCGTGTTTTTTTCAATATTTTAAAAATTAAAAGTAATGATTTAAGAAGAAAGTTAATTGTGCAAAATAATGAATTTTACTAAATAACTTATTACACTGAATTTAAAAAACTGTAATTTTTTTAAAAGTCACCCTTAATCTCATCACATTAACCCATCAACTACTTTTATTTCATCAAAGGACATTGTCCTAAAGCTGCAGTGATTCTGGAACTTAAATC